TATGACCTTTGATTTCTCTGTTTTAATGGGCTATTAGGTTTGTTGCCGTTTGTTTTCTTTGTGGGTTTTTAGAGAATTGCATGGGTACATGTTTGTGGCAAATGGGCTTCATGGTACATAACATATTAGTTTGTCTAGGTGAAGACAGTAGAGTCTTTTCGATTAGTTGTGAACCGGGGCATCGGTTTTTATTTCGAAGCAGTTCGAAAGCTTTTTGATTGGTTGAGCTATATAGAGTTCAGGTGATGTTTATGGGGGCATAAAAGAATTTATGAAGAAAAAAAAAAAATGTTTCTGTTGCCAGATGAAAACATTTTGTATTTTGCTTTTGCATTTGTGGGACTGTTCAAATAATAGGTGTTACTGTGATTGAGTAATGATGGAAATGGCAAAAATGCCATATTTGGCCTTTAATACCAAAATAGAGAGTGATGGTGGTTGATATCTCGACCAAAGACGAATATTTTGCAAAGAGAAAGTGACAATGTGGATTTTTGCAATTTTTGTTTGAGTAATTGTGCCGTGTCATCGGTGAATATGTGCTTTGATTATGAAGGTTATTATCTGATAACAAGATATACTGGATTGAACTTGAATCTGAGTTGTTGTGCAGTCTATTGTGCATTGAGTATCTATTGTGATGTTGTGTGTGTAAAGCCGTAAAACAGCATGTTCTTATGTTCATAAATAATCAATTGTTTTCATGGTAATAGAAAAAAATTTGTTGCCAATTTGTTTGTTAAGAAATTTAATCCTTGAATTGCTTCAGACACTATCTTTTGATCTTGTTGACTTCCTTGGTGATTTGTTTTTCTTTTGTCAAATTTTGTACTGCGCACAAACTTGGCCAGTAATATGAGAAGCTTATCTTATGACATCAATGAATCAGGTTGAGAAAATGGAGCAATTGTTTGATGAGTCTAACGAACAATCTCTGGATGAGAACTTCTATAAGAAACTGGCAAGAAGTTTCAAGTGAGTTAATATCTGCATGTGGTAACTATCAAGTGTTTGCTTGGCTTCTTTAATAGTGGTTAACTGTATATATATCTTTGACGTATGCAGCTGTTCCAGTAATCGAGCTGGAAAGCCTATTTTGAAGTGGACAGAGGTTTTTCTCTTTATATTCTGCTTTTATATCTTCCACATCTATTGTCTTGAGTTAATTATATTTAGTTTTTGTGTTACTCTCTTTCTTCACAGGTACAAAGTTGGTTTCAGAAGAAGCGTAAAAACAGCCTACTGAACGAGGGTCCATTTGATTCCAAACAATCTCCTATTTTTCCATACGATTTTACACAAGATAAAGCAACTGAAAATCCTGAATTTCCGAAAGGTGGCTTGTTTCATTTTGCCCCATGGTTCATATTTCATTTATTTTCGTACATCTTGAGTGAGCTTGTACATTCCCCCTTAAACTGCATAAGGAGTTATGGATATATTTGTTTTTCTGAAATTATTTTGGTTTTTTTTTTTTTCCTTTTACCTTGCGCGCAAAGTTTCTGTGAATATGCTATTTTTCTTCGTGTTGCCTGTTATGCTAAGTTATATTTAAATTTCTGTAGTTATTGATGGGCAGTAGTGCATTTGATCTTCCTCTGACCGATAATATCACTTTTTTTTTCCGGGCAATAATGTCTCTTGCTTTTTGGTTTGAAAGTTTCTACTACCTCCTATTTGTTTTTTTTTTTTTTAAATGTCATTTTGGCTTTATCAACAATTAACTTAATAAATGACGTTTTGGATCTTTTGTACATAATTTTTTCATTATTACCCTCATCTAGCTAATAAATACACTACGTCTTTTCATATTCACTCTTCATCTTTTCTCAAGACATTCATCTCTATCTTCATTAATGAGGGTTATGTTATTATTGGCAAAAAAAAGTTTCTTAATTATTGTGCAACTTCTCAAAACGACATAGGGGGGAGTATAATATTTGGTGACCAAAATAACCGTTAGAAAGTTATGATAGTGACTGGCATTGGTGTCATGACAGGGGAAAAGGGCCGAGACATATCCAAGTTGGAGTTTGAGGCAAAATCATCAAAAGATGGAGCATGGTAAGCCGCTGATCGAGATCTTTCAGCATTATCCAATGCTTGCAACTTTGCTAATTATCTATATTGTATATTGATGGTCTATCTTTGTCAAATTGCATGTATGATAAATGGAAATAAAATATGTATATCTTTGAAATAGAAGTATACGGATTAGAAGTATATAAAGGCTATAACGTGAATATCGTTTGCCACACCTTTTTTTTTCCATTTTTTTTATTCTTTGTTGTTGCTTTTTTTACCTTTCCTTTTTTTCTCCTTTCCTTTCTGATGCAAGTAACATATTCATTCACTCTTTTGCCTTTTCTGGTGTTGAACAGGTATGATGTCGATACATTTCTCTCCCACAGATTTGTCGGCCCCGGCGAAGTTGTGAGTAGTTATATTCCGAATGAAGTAAAAACCGGACACTACTTCCAAAAAAGAAAAACAAAAAAATACGCCTTTATTAGGTCTTGCATTTGAATGTAGCGTGAAAATAGCTATCTTGCATAGCTGGCATTCATGCTTTAATGTAGCGTGAAAATAGCTCTCCTTTTCTTTTCCTTTTATTTCACTTCAAATCTCTTAATTTTTTTTTTAAATAATATGTTTTTCGATCCTGTTTTGTATTCTTCTGTAATCAAGAAGACATTAAATTTTTTGTAGCTCTTAAAGGAAAGGCAGATTAAAATTGTGATAAAAATAAATTCCGGCTCGTTGCAGGAAGTCTACGTACGGTACACTGGGTTTGGGACTGATGAAGACGAATGGGTCAATGCAAAACATGACGTGAGAGAACGTTCTATTGCTTTGGAGCATTCAGAATGCAACAAAGTGAATGCTGGGGATTTAATCGTGTGCTTTCAGGTATTATTTTTGTGTGTCAATATATATAGCCTTCAATACTTTGATTATAATCACTTTCTGAAGAGTGCAAACTTAAATGAGAGACAGGAGATAAGAAGCTGAAGTGCTTAAAACACGAACAAACCTCAACAGTTTCGTTATAACATTTTAAAGTGAACTATTGTGGGCTTGTTTGTTCATTAATTTATCAACAAAAAAATTCAATCGCAACTCAAAATTTAACTCAATTTTAACTCAACTCCATTTTCTAAGTATTATTAATATAAGTAAATAATATCAATAAATCATTATTACGCATCACGTCAATTTTAATTCACTATTCATCCACTTGCGTAATTTTAACTACTTATCACATCTCATAATCTCTTTCATATTTTTCATCAAATCAACTTTAATAGTTTATTTTAAATATTATTTTAATATCCCACTAAAAAACTAACCAAACCAACTTTTTCAAAATTAACCATGGTTAACCAAAAAAACCAGTTTATTTATTTGTATGCTAACAACCCCTATGTAATTCTAAGCGATGAACTAGAGTTTACAGTAATTTAGCTTAAACTTAATTTGAGTTAGCGGCGTGTCTAAATCTAGAACCATTACAATATTTGTTCTTTAGATTAATATCAAAATTTATCTTTTTTATTAGGAGAGACACGATCAAGCAAGATACTATGATGCACACGTTATGTCGATCCAAAGGAGATTGCACGATATACGAGGTTGCAGATGTCTTTTCTTGATTCGATACGACCATGATAAATCAGAGGTGTGATTACTTCTTTTTTCAGTTTCTTCTTTTCTCTCAAATTATTAAACTTTTAATGATCTATAATTCTTGTTGTCTTAAACCCATCATTATCTGATCCTGTCAATATAGGAAAGAGTGCCCTTGACGAGATTATATTGCCGGCCAAACTTGCAAGCCCGTTTGGAAAGTACCTAGGTCTCGGTTGGTAAGTTATAGCTTGTGAAGGACATAGAAAAAAAGTTTCGCTTTATGCCTTCGGCTTTTGTATGTCTTGATGCCCTTGGGTCGATAATTTTATCGCTCTATATATGATTAATGAGGACTGATCTTTGAGGAACTGGAAAATATTGTGTTTTGGTTTTTTTCTTAAACATTATTCTATGCTATTAATGTAAATTTTTGGGGTCTAATTACCAGAATTGGGTGTAAGGTTTGGCAAATTTACAAAGAACTCCATTTCTCTAAAGAATAAATTTATAGTCTTCTGTGATTGGGTTAATCTCAGGGTACTCTTTTTTTTATTATATTTTTTTCCTTTTTTTTTTTGACTTGATGCTTTGACTTACTATTTTCCTCATAAACTATTTTCCTATGAAAAGTTCTTAAATGGAATTTTGCAAATTGACTTCTCCAAAGTCTCCTATCTTTACTGGATCTTTTATAAAAACAACTTAATTAATATATTCTTAATTTAGCATCAAACAATAATATTTATTCAAATGAATTTCTACATTCAAAAATCCATTTGAGAAGTGTTTTCAAACAAGTTTAAGTAAAAATACTTGAAGATATTTAATCAAGATAATCTCAATATGTAAATTTTTTTTAATCAAGATTAGAGCTATTCAGAGAAAAAGTTGCCGTAAGCCTGACTCGATTCGTTAAGGTTGGAATATGAATTTTATTTAATTTTGTATAGGGTTATTGCGAAAAAAATTACGACCTTTTATTGAATTGCAAATAATCCCAACCTTTTCAATTTTATAAATAAATCTCAACCTTTATTAACTATTGTAATTTTGTCTCAAATTTGAACTCCGGCCATCTGCCGCCACCGGCCGCCGCCCAACCTCGCTGGAATTGAAAACTTTTTACGTCATCGTGTAGCTCTTCTTCCGGGCAACAACATATCCGAAGTTCGTGTAAAAATTACGACAATAAGTGGTCCGATTTTCCGGTAAAAGCAAGTAGGCCGCCGCTCGTCTCCGGCAAAATTGGACCCCTTATTGTCGTAATTTTTACACGATTTTCGGATATGTTGTTACCCGGAATGAGAGCTACACGATG